TATAGTCATGTGATGATGATTGACACGTCTGAATGATTAAGCTCCTCCCACACCTACACTGTGGACTTCATTCAGTGATTTGATGATTAGTTTCAGCTCTAATCTGCTCTAATAATGCTGCATTTCTGTTGGGCTTTCTCTACTAGAAATGAGCCTTGATCTGTGTTTGCTGATATTTTCCACATTCAGACAGTTTCTGTTCAAATATAAAGGAAATTAATTTAAGTGTTTTTGTAAATGAAGAATGATTAATATCAGGTTTGTGCAGTGTGTGCAGCGCTCAACTTTAATCTTCTCTGTTTTAGTTCAGTTCATCAGAAGAGAGCAGAAGCAGAGCCCAGCTGTGTGTCTATGAAGAGTGACGCGTCTATGATCCAACCAATGCATTTTAAGAGTGAAAACACACGACCTGCTGTAAGGTAGATCATCTCTACACACACATGATTACACTGCAGCATTTATATGATCCTGTGTTTCTAGAAGATCAGATAAACAAGTATTACATTTACAGGAGACCTCAAAACTAAATGTCCACACACTCACATCTGATCATTAGTGAAGTACTAATAAAGTATTAATACTCAAACTGTTAGAGTCAGTAGAGTGAGTTTACAGGCTTTTACAATAGTCAGCAAAGTGTGGGTGATCAAGAGATTTTAGACAAGATGAATGAACAAGTTGTATGAGACAAACACACTACATTTCACCTGATAAGTAATTATAGTCAAGAGAGATACTGATTTAAGATGAAACTGTATTTAAATCATCTCTGATTATCTTAATCAAATACATCAATATTACAAAGTTAAAGTGGTAAATGTTAAAGGGGATCAATATTACAGTGCTGTTACTAAAATCCTGAACTCAGAGCATACGCTTGTATGATCTGGAGATTATCATCAAAAACAAAAACTATATTCAGTCAGAAAGTGAGCTGTCAGAGGACAGAAGCAGAGCAAACACAGTCATGGTGAAGCACAGAAAGATTCAGACAGCAGAGATGGAGAGGATTATTATTTCTTATTGATGGCAAAACAGCTAACAAGTATAAGATCACAACAACCTTCAGAACTACAGACAGCAGAATACAAGACTCAGAGGAACACGAGAACAGAAAATTGTACAGTAAAAGAAACAGCATTACCACATTACACACTACAGCAGCTGAACAGGTAATCTAGGAGCTTCAGTCCTCATGCTTGTGCTCTCTCACATTTTCATCTTAAAAGATTTTAAATGTTTTCAGTGAGCATCCAGCATCATTGTGAATAAATGATATCAAATTAATGAAGTGTTACATTTAATAAATGACAAACACTGTTTACAGCATTTTGAGCAGTAGACGTGATCAGTGTGTGGTGTTTAATGTAATCAGTGTTTGTCCTGTTTAAAGTGATCAGTGTGTGGTGTTTAAAGTGATCAGTTTGTGGTGTTTAATGTGATCAGTGTGTGTGATGTTTAAATTTATCAGTGTGTGGTGTTTAATGTGATCAGTGTGTGTCCTGTTTAAAGTGATCAGTGTGTGGTGTTTAAAGTTATCAGTGTGTGGTGTTTAAAGTGTTCAGTTTGTGATGTTTAAATTTATCAGTGTGTGGTGTTTAAAGTGATCAGTGTGTGCTGTTTAAAGTGATCAGTGTGTGCTGTTTAAAGTGTTCAGTGTGTGGTGTTTAAAGTGATCAGTGTGTGCTGTTTAAAGTGATCAGTGTGTGCTGTTTAAAGTGTTCAGTGTGTGGTGTTTAAAGTGATCAGTGTGTGCTGTTTAAAGTGATCAGTGTGTGCTGTTTAAAGTGTTCAGTGTGTGGTGTTTAAAGTGTTCAGTGTGTGGTGTTTAAAGTGTTCAGTGTGTGCTGTTTAAAGTGTTCAGTGTGTGGTGTTTAAAGTGATCAGTGTGTGGTGTTTAAATTGTTCAGTGTGTGGTGTTTAAAGTGATCAGTGTGTGGTGTTTAAAGTGTTCAGTATGTGGTG